CGAGGACGGTGGGGCTGTTCTCAGCTCTAGCTCTGCCACTGACTCACTGTGGACCCCGGGCAGGCCCCTCCCCTCCCGAGCCAGGCTCTCCAGCTGTAAAATAAGGGATGAGCGGACCCCCCCATTTCTGATGTTCCTTCCAACCCAGCGAGGCTGGGAGAGGAGCGTGGTCTTCCGGGGCCGGGACTACCTTGGGGTTCGCCAGTGTGTCCCTGGCACGATTCAGCCTGTGCGTGTGCAGAGGAGAAAGGGGAGCATCTCTCAAGATGCCAGACTGGCTGCTCAAGGGACCAGTAGTGGCACGGTTCCCGGGCGGGCTGAGGCTGCAGGAGGACCAAGGAGGTCAACTGAGGTCCCTGGCAAAGTTCTGTTTGCAACAAGAAGAGCCCCAGAAAGGCCAGGCTGGCTGCTCGGGCTTGAAGGGCGACAATGAGCCATGTGGTCCCCTCTGACAAGCCCGCCCTGGTGAAGAGCGTGTGGGGCTGAGTGCAGAAGCCCAGCTCAGGTGAGGCGGACGCCCAGGACACGCTGCGGGGACTGGGGTCCCCACAGCGCGGGCGGCAAACCACAGAACAGGCTGGTGAGCTCTGAGGACGCCAGGCAGAGCCAGGCAGAGGGGCCCACAGGCGGAGAGGGACACTCACTGTCCTCAAGAGCTCCGAGGTTGGACCAGGCTGACCTCGGGGTGGTGGCCTAGGCTGGACTTAAAGGCAGGGTTGTGAGCACCTGAACAGGACACACTGAGTACCAGGGCCCCGAAGGCCGCCCCCTCGCGTTGGCGGGGCTGCGCTGAGTCGGCAGGGGCTGAGTGGGGACAGCAGGGCGCTGGGCGAGACCTTTCTCAGCATCCTGTGGGCCTGCAAGGGGGCCGGACACGGGCTGGAATGCGTCCCCAGGGAGGACTGGCTAATGGGCCAAAGCCAAACAGGGAGAGGCCCCCAGGGTCACACCCAGGGCCGGCTCCTCACATCAGCAGACGTGCCCGGAGGGACCAAAGCGGTGGTCGCAGAGCTGGTGCACAGAGAGACCCCACAGGCTGGACTAAACCAAACAAGAGGGAACGGAGCAAGAAAGTCATGGTCCTTCGCTGGGCCTAAAGAGCAAATGTCCCTCTCCCACCCCGCACTCACACAGAGAAGAGACAGGGCTTAGCCGTCACCTGGGTGTGAGCGCCAGGGGATTCAGTCATGGAAGGGTAGGGTGAGTAGGGTCCAAGGTCATGTGGCCCAAAGCACTCGGCCACATTAACAGAGGCTGGGCGCCCACAGCAGGGGAGGGGATGGCCTGCTCTCTTGTGGCCAGCGGATGCACAGGAGGTCACATCTGCCCCGCACCTTCACAGGAAAGCTGGGGCCTGCTGGAGGCGCAGGAGGAGCCTGGCTCTGAGAAGCGAGGAGGACTCGGGGCTGGGGAGGGCAGCGGCGAGGCCAGCGGGACAGGGCGGCTGGCGTGGGCTCCTTGGTGGGTGTGTGAGGAAAGGCAGAGGTGGCCTGGGAGGGAGCCAAGCAGCAGGTGGAGTGCCCCGCTGGTGCTTCTGAGGTCCCTGTCCACCTGGAGGCCCTGCCGTTTGGCCTGATGCTCCCTGGTTCTGGGGGCTCCGTCTCTGCCCCCCTGCCCAGGCGGCCCCCACCTGCGTCCGCGTACTTCGAGCTCACCCTCCTCTCTCCCCTTCCTCCCCCTAACTGCTCCTAGAAGAGGCCCTGTCTGGCCTCCTTTCCCCCTCCTGACAAGGCCAGGCAGACAGCAGAGCTCCCATCCCTTCGGCATCCCTGTGGCTGTGCGCATGTGCGGGACATGCCTGTGCGCGTGTGCGCATGCGCCTCTGTCCCTTTGTGGCTCCGTGCACAACCCTAGCCGCGCCAGCACCTCCATCTCCGGCGGGGCAGCCGCACCTGCACCTGCGGGGCTCTTGCCTGGCCAGCGGGGCTGCCCCCACGGGGGTGGGGCGCCACCGCAGGGCCAGCTACACACGCTTCTGGGTCACAGGCATCATCGTCCTGGGGCTTGATGGGAGCCATGGAGGTTGGCTGGACACAGAGGACGTTTAAAAAAATAGAGAGAATTTAAGCTTCCCAAAAAAGAGACAGGGAGGGAGAAGGCGCTATGGAGGCCGAGGTGGGGCTGGGAGGCGAGTGGCCGTCCGAGCACTCTGGGTCCCTGGGGGTGACAAGGTCTCTGTGGGCAGGACACAGCCCCTGCCCAGGCTGTGTCCACGTGCCGTCTGGCTGTGCCCAACGGACACTTCAGCCAGGCCGGGCCGGCCGAGGGGAGGGCACCGTATGGCTGTCTGTAGAGTCTGTGCAGGTGGCGGGGTGGGGTGGCCAGGCCGGCTGCTGGCGCTGCAGTCCTGCCCCAGGCCCCGTGCCCAAGCGTCCATGCGCCAGGCTGGCTCTCAGGAGGCGAAGTAGGAACTCTGCATGGAGTAGAGCCGGTCGATGGGGTTGCCCACGCGGGCCTGCAGCGAGCCCACGTCTGAGGAGCCGAGGAAGCAGTCACTGAGGCTGGTTAAGGAGGTATCGCTGTCGATGTCGTGGAAGATGGAGTCGTTCCCTGCGGGGCAGAGGAGTGTCAGGGCCAGGGTGCAGGCTGGGGATCCCGGGGCCCTGTCGGCCCTGCAGGCTGTGTGGCCCGAGGCCAGGAAGAGACAGGGCGGCCTGCCGGCCAGTCCTGCCCAGAGGGACTGGGGCTGGTCCTGTCCAGGGGTGGCCGGTGGGCTGTGCTGGCCGAGCCTGCCTGTGCCCAGGGGCAGCAGGTGGCTGTCACAGCCCCAGGCCTGCCCAGCCAGGCAGGGGGCAGGGTCAACGGGGTGGGCGGGGTGGGGCGGCTTACCATAGGGGTTCATGTGGTCACCTGGCATTTGGGGCGGCGTGAGGCCCTGCTGGAAGGGGTCGCTGCTGCCGTAGGGGCTCTGCTCCATAGCCACGATCTGCTGCTGCGGGGGGGCCAGCGGCGTGTAGGAGGCCATCATGCCCTCCATGCGGCTGGACAGGACCTCTGGGGACAGAGCACGCTGTCACCACCTGGCCCTGCCCGCCCCGTCCCATGGCCCAGCTTCCCTGGGAGCCCCACAGATGTCTCCCAGGGGTCCCTTCTGACCTTGGGACTCCCCAGGCGCCCCTCGCTGGCAGAGGCTGCCCAGACACCTGACTCCCCAGCCCCTCCCGCAAACATGCCCCAGCCCCTCTTCTGTAATCAGTTTGCCAAAAGCCAGGGTCCTCCCTGGCCCCCCACTCCTGTTTCCTAACACCACCCCCCCTTGCAGGTGCTCAGGACCCTGGGGAGGGGGACCCCAATCAAGCAAAGGTGATTCCAAGTGTGGGCACCACGTGCACCCCACCATCTGGGAGCACCAAGGTCCCACACCCCAGCCAAGGAGGCCCAGGGAAGGCTTCCTAGAGGAAGGGGCTCAACTGCGTGTGACTTAACGAACCAGCAGGGGTGAGGCGTGCCAGGCTGGGGGCTGCAAAGGCCCGGACAAGAGGAACTGCCAGGTGGGATGGAGTCCAGCCCAAGAGGCCAGTGTGGGGCAGACGAGCCGAGAGGGACCTGACCACAGAGGCCCTGGGGGCGAGCTGGGTGTCAAAGCCAGGGGAGGGTCTCAGTGGGGTGAGGGTGAGACAGCCGGAGCAGTGGGCAGAGAGGTCTGGGGAGGGCCAGGGGTCTCTGTCAAGGCAGTCGTGGGAGAGACAACTAGGAGGGGGTGAGCGGGACCCAGGAAAGGAGACCACCTCCAATTTGACGACTGAGAGCAGATGCCACGTGTGTGGGACAGGAAGGTCCGAGGTGACTCCTGGGGTGGGGAGGGGCCGGACGTGCCTCATGCACATGGGCGGTGGCGGGAGTGCAGTGTGGGCTGGGATGTGCTGGGCAGACAGTGGGACATTCTCAGGGAGGCTGTGTCCAGGAGGCAGTTGGGAACATTGGAGGGCCAGACAGCCCAGGAGCTGCTGGGAGACCAGAGGCAGTGACTGCAGCCCCAGGAGGGGCACAGGGAGAGGAAAGAAAGGAAGAACTGGGCTCTCAGGCCATGTCCTTAGAAGCCCCACATCCAGGCTGGCCCCTGGCCTGGCCCCCAGAGTCCTGAGCAGAAGGGGCTGTCCATCAGTGCCTGGCGTCTGCCTGGAGCCTCCCTGTCACCCCGGGGCAGGTAGCTCTGCCCCAGCCCCCAGCAGCCCCTGCACTCCCTTCATGGTCCTCATGGCTCAATGTCCCCATAGGGCCCAGCAGACCAGCCTTGGCCCAAGATTCTGTTGTAGAAACAGCATTTTTAGCAAAGCCCAGTATTGGGGCAGGGGGCTGACCCGTACTCCTTAAACGACCCCTCAGCACCCAGAAGGACTCTCAGCACCCTGGCCAGCTTTGCTGGAGACTTCCGCTGGATTCTAGCTGCGAGGCAATGTCAAGGAGTGTCATCCTGTTAAAAGCACAGGCTTGGAGCCCCATGTTTGGGACTGAGAGATCTCAGGCAAGTCCCTTAATCTCACCAAGCCTCAGTTTCCTCATCTGTGAAATGGGACATGGCAATACCCTTCTTTGCAGGGCTCTGTGAGACTGAGCGACATGGGTGTGCTCAGTGCTGAGAACCGTGCCCGGCACACAGTTGCTGTTTTGATTGCAGAAATGCCACCCCCTGGCCTCTGCCCTGCCATCTTTCCTCCCTGTGTCCCCTGGCCCCACTGCTTCTCCATTTCTCTATGCCTCAGCTGGGCTTTACGCAGAAGTTCCCTGGGCTCTGATGGCCTTGGGGGAGGTTTCCTGGGAGTCTTGTTAAAAGAGGCAGCAGGGCCCCCTGTCCCCAGACCCAGCCCCGGCTCACCCTGGCCCAGCCGCTGGGAGTTCTGCTGTTCCTGCTGCTGCTGGTGCCGCCGGGCCAGCTTCTTCATCTGCGGGGACAGCACAGTTCAGGCCGGACCCTGTGGACTCCCCGTCTTCCGCCTGCCCCCTGCTCCCACCCTGCCCGGGGCCAGCAGTGCCTGGAGGTGGCCACTCACCTTTGCTCTTTGGTTCTGAAACCAGACCTGGACCACGCGCACGCTGAGGCCCGTCTCAGCCGCCAGCGTCTCCCGGACCTGGCCGGAGAGAGCAGACAGGTCAGGCCTGCGGGGGCAGCGGCTGGGAAGTGGCGGGTTTGGGGGTGCAGGGCAGATGGGGGAGGTGGAGGGATGTCCTGCCCCAGCAAGCACAGGTCGGGTAGGGTCTGAAGAGGTTGGTGGGGGGTGAGGGGTGTCCGCCCCAGCCGGGCCTCACCTTCCGGCAGGGCTTGGAGGAAACCTCAAAGGAGGCCTTGAAGGCCCTTCGCTGCTGCGTGGTGAGGATGGTCCGGGGTCGCTTGGGCCTCCGCGGGTCCTTCCCGTCATCCCCGCTGCCCTTGCTCTGGCTGCCTTGTCCCTTGGCCGGTTTCATGTCCCCGTCCTCGTCCTCGCTCTTCACTGTGAGGGACGCAACCCGGCCTATCAGGGAGGGCTGAGGAGTGGCCCAGGCCCCAGACTTGTGCCCTCATGCCACCTGCTGCCCAATGGCCCCCTCGCTCTCTGCTGACACCCACATGACCCCCCAGTGCCCTTGGGATGAAGTCCACCTCCCTGCCCCGGCCTTTCGTCTCCTGTCCTGTGCCCTGCGAGCCCCTTCCCCAGCACACGCTGCCCACACAGCTGGACCTGCAGACTGAACACGGGCGCGCTGCGGACCACAGGCACAGACGTGCACACGCGAACGTGCTGCTGCTCGCTTGGGTGCACCCATACTCAAAAGGCTTCGATGCAGACCCATGTGGGAAACAGGTACACAGGTGCATGTGAGTGGTTGTGCACATGCGTGTGTGTGGACACACACAGAAGTGTGCACAGGTGCACGTGTGATCACACCTGAGGGCAATCTGCTTGCCTCTTAGGGCCAACAGACCCCTAAAGAGAAAGGCTGGCACCTGTGGACTGTTCCGGCCCTGGGCTTCCCGGACCCATCTGGTCTGGGACCTGCCTTGTCCCATTGACCTCTGGTCCCTTGGAGACCCAGCCCAGCATGTCCGCCTCCAAGAGAACCAGTTCCCACTGCGCCAGCCCAGTGCCGGCCAGGCGTGAGTGCCTCAGGGGAGACCGCAGGGAGTTGCTTCCTTGAAGCTTCCAGGGGTGAAGAATGGACAGGCAAAGACACGTGCACCGACATCCTCACGCGAGGGTGAACACAGCATGCAGGTGCGCACGACATAGGTGCACTCGCCCCCCACACACACATGCAGACTGGCACGTGGGCCCATGGAGGCCCAGGCACATGCAGCTCACAGGCGTATTTGCACACAGGCCCATGCAAGCATGCCCACACCTGAACAGGCGCATGCACGGCACTCAGAAATCTGTGCTTTCACCCAGTAACACACACGCACCCACCATGCACACGTGGCACTTCCACAGCCCGGAGTTTGGGTCTCAGAAATGCCACCCCAGATGGATAGCCAAGCCTCCCACCCACCCCTGGGCTTCCTGCTGCCCTCGTCTGGACTGGTCCCTTCCCCCAGCCCCGTCTTCCTCAGAGCACGCGCTCTGGGGGCCGAGGAGGGGAGGACACATCAGATCCCTGCCTCCCAAGAGGTCCCCAGCCCGCAGGCCTGGTGTGGTGCTGTGCCACGGTGGGGGCCACATCAGGGAGGGTGAGGGTGGTGGGCCAGAGACCAAGGGGGGAGTGTATGCACGTGTGCAGCCACGGCATGTGCACGTGCAGCCATGTGAATAGTGCTTAGTGCATGAGTATGCTGGGCCGTGCGTGTGTGTTTACCTGGGTGTGGCTTCTGTATGCTTGGTTATGTGAGCACATATCTCCACGTGTATGTGAGCACATATATGTGCTCCTGGGTATGGGTATCTCCACATGCATTTTATGTGTGTGTGTACACGTGACCACATGCATGTCGACATGTACAGATATGAGTGCCTTAGGGATAGGGAGCACAGGGGCATTTTGCGTGCTTGGGAGGTGTGCACATTAGCGTCCATGTGCTCGTATGCACACGGATGTGCGAGCGCTGTCTGTGTGCAGCTCCGATGCCCTTCCACGACGCCCTTCCACGACGCCCTTCCACGACGCCCTGCCGAGGCCCGTCCCCGAGGCCTGTCCCCACTCGGGCCAGGGCTCACCGGAGTCCGACTCGTCGGGGCTCACAGAGCTGAGCAGGTCCTTCTCCTTCTCGTAGTCGCCCTTGCACAGCAGCTGGCCCTCCTTGAGCACAAACTCGTCGCCCTTGCGGAGCTGCCGCTCGCACACGCAGCAGCAGAAGCAGCCCAGGTGGTACACGCACTCCAGCGCCCGCATCACGAACTCCGTGGGGGCGATCTTCTCCATGCAGCCGCTGCACTTGGCTGCGAAGAGCCTGCAGGTGCACAAAGGGGCACTGGCTGGGCTCAGAGGTCCCTCCCAGGGGCCACTGACGCTGAGGGCCCCTCCCTCCTCCCTGACCCCCAGGCCCAAGTGGGAGAGGCTCTCCCTGGGCAGGGCCCAGACAGCGGACGCCCGACAGCGGGAGGCCCTGCAGCAGGGTGGGCGCCCCCATCCTGTGAGAGGTGCCTCTCTGGGGTGTGGCAGCTTCGGGCCCTTCCCGCTCAGGGACAAGGTGGCCACTAGAGGGCAGTGTTCAGGGTCCGCCTCAACCTTCCCCGAGGCAGGACGGCCCCTGTCCTGAGAGAGTCCTGGCCCCCCTCACTCCTGACCAGCTCTGCCTCCTCCCTGATCCTCTCCCACCCCTGTATCCAAGCAATCCCCTGTCCAAAGCGCCACCCGGCCTGGGCCACTCCTCTCCAGCCGGAGCAGCCACGAGTCCCCTCCATGCGTTCCTGACCCCTGCAGCCCTTCAACAACACCCACCCCACCCCACACATGGGAGCCAGAGGGGTCTTTCCAAAACACCTCATGCTGATCATGCTGCTTCCCTGCTCCGGACTCCTCCATGGCTCCCTAGTGCCCTTGGGGGAACACCCAAGCTCCTGAGCCTGGCCCTCAACGCCTATCGTGATCCTGCCACTTCCCTCACCACCCTCTGCTTCCCCGGGCTGCAGCCCACAGAGCAGCCTGCAGCTTCTCCAAAGCACCATCGTGGCAGCCTTTTTGACAAGTTCTTTCTCTGTCCCCTGGCTTGGGTGATGCCTCCACGGCAGCTTCCGCACCTCCATCGTGAACGGGCGTTTACTGAGCACGTACAGCACGGCAGGCGCTGCGCTGAGCACCGTCCGCGCAGAAACGCATTCAATCCTCGCAACAACCCCACGAGACAAGGACGAATATTGATCCCATTTTAGAGATGAGGAAATTGAGGTGCTGGGTGGCAGCGTCGCTTGTTCAGGTCACGTGAGTAGCGAGTGCTGCAGCCCACTCCCAGCCCGGGCCTGGTCGGGCCCTCCGTGACAAAGGCGCTCGGTCTGCCATCCCGCAGACACGCGCGGGCAGGCGCGTGCAGGAGGGTCTGGGCGGCCGCCCCGCCTCTGCCCACGCCGCTGACCGCGGCCCGGCACCCCCGCCCCGTCACGTGCCCCGCTCTGTGGGAACTCAGCCTCAACAACACTTTGATGGAAAAATTTATGAAGAATCAAATTATTGCTGCTGGGAGGGAATTAAAACCATTTTTCATTCCTCGCGTCCCCGGGCCACGTCTGCAGGCGCCACCTTGGGAGCGCTGCGCACATCCCATCCCTCTTTATGGCCCGCCATCGCGGGCACAGATTACAGCTGCAATTCTCTTCTAATCGGTTCTGGAACAGAAACGGCCATAAACGGAGGCACTCGCCTGCCTCCCTTCCCGGGGCTGCCGTCAGCACCGCCCACGGCGAGCTGGTGGGGCGGGCTGGACAGGGCCGGCTCCAGCCCTGCCTTCTGTCCTGGCACTGGCCAGGGCACTCGGCTGGAGGGCACCCCCTAGCGACCAATGCCACCCACCTCTATTCTACCCAGCGGGCTCCTACTCATCCTGCAATGCCCAACTCCAATGCCACCTCCTCTGGGAAGCCTTCTGTGATGCCCTAGTCTAGGGGAGGTGGCCTGCTCTATGTGCCCCTGAGCTTCCCTCTGGCCTCAGTTTTCTCTGCTGTAAAATGGGAATGTCAACAAGACCTCCCTTGAAGGCTGTTGTCAGGATTCAACTTGGTGAATATCACAGTGGAGTGACAGTGCATGTCCCCATTACTGCCCAACTCTCCTGAGGTTCCACAGGGCGGGACCTGGCTCTATCTGACCCTCAAGGAAGCCTCAGTGTTTGCAGAACGAGTGAAGCCCTGGTGAGCTGAGGCTGAGGCCAGGCTCTCTGCTCCAGGAGGCAGGACCCCACTAGCCCATAAAGTGCACGGCTTTTCAAGGGGAACATGGGCTGGATTTCGGCTCTAATTTGGCTCTTTGGCCCGATATCCTTGTTCAGGGTACCACCCACCCAACTGTGCATGCAGTCTCAGACAGAGGTCTCTAGAAATCTGGCTGGCACCCCAGCTCTGCTGAGGGGCTGAGAGAGAAGTGGCTTGCAGAAGCCGTGCCTCTCACATGTGGGATGCTGCCACGCTCCGCTGCACTGCCCTCTGCGTCCTCCCTACACTGCTGCCCTGGGGCCCCACTGCGGTGTGCCACCTGCCCCCGTGGCCCGGGAGCGGGCAGGCACTGGCTGTGTCTCTGCCCGCACAGCAGGGCCAGGGTCCTAGGCCAGGGTCAGCACACGCTGGGCGGCTCCCGGGGAGACCTTCTCAGGCTGTGGAGGGGACAGCAGGGTTGGTGACCTGCATTTGCAGTCGATGCCACCATGCTGGCTGCATTCCGAACAGCCGCGCTAATGCCTTGGCAGCAGGGGGTCGATTGCTACTTTCTCCAAACTCATCAACACAATCTATTATTAATACTTCTCCAAAGGCTCGGCGCCGCCATTACAGAGGCAGCGCCAGCCACTCGGGGCATCATCTGTTATCTAGATTGCAAAAACTCGGGAAATAAAACAAACCGCGCGCACTTTATAAATGGAATGCGCCATCCGTTTGGTCTCCAAGCATCTCTCCACCCAATAAAACATCGGGGGGGACGCATGAAATACTCACTCCCAATTATGGGGCTGCCTTTGTCTACCGTGCTGGGGCGAGAGCTACTAACGGTGGGTGTGGGAGGGGTTGGGGGCGCCGGCGGGGTCCCCTCCTCTCTGTGAGCCCCCATTCCCTCCCTCAGTGCCTCTCGCCATGCAGGGATTGCTGGGGGCAGCCCCTGAGAAGCAGGCCCAGCCGCAGGCAGGGACACTGGAATCGGACGGGCCCGGGTTCCATGCCTCGGTCCACCACTTGCTGGCTGGAGACTTGGCAGGTAATTCTGTCTTCCCAAGCCTCAGCTGACTTACCTGTATAATGGGCTCGACAACACTGCCTGCTTCTCAGCACGAGGATGCACTGGGTTGTCACCGTAAGCCAGCAGGCACAGAGGGCACAGCCCCGGGTTCCATCCTGGCTCCCTAACTTTCTTACTGTGTGACTCTGGGCAAGACATTTAACCTCTCTGAGCCTCAAATTCTTCATCTACAAAGTGGGAATGGCCGTACCTGACCACGGGGTCGCTGGGAGGCTCGACTGCGTGTGAAGCCCTCGGCACTGCGCCGGCCTGAGGAAAGCCTCCACAAAAGGCTGCCCTTCTCTGCCCTCTTTGTCCCACATGTGTCCCAAGTGCCCTGTTGATCTCCCATGCTAGGGTCACTGTGATTCCAGGGGCCACCTCCCTGGCACTGGCTGGGTTGGCAGTACCTCCCTGTCACCACCACAATGGGGTTGGGGCTGGCCCTTCCGCTTCCACTTGGCTTGATCTGGACAGAGCACGCCTGGTTCAACGTTCCGTCTGTCTCATTAACATTACTGAGACCAGAATGCTTAGCCACCTCCCGCATCGCCGCGTTAAATCCTCACAGAGCCCTGTTTCCACCCCCATTTTACAGATGAGCACACCAAGGTTCAAGGTCATGCAGCAGCAGCAGATACTCCCCCTGCTCTGTGCCTCCCAGCGTGCCTTTGCTCACCAGTCACCCCCGCTCTGCACGCTGGGCACCGTGTCCTTGTCTGCTGGCCCTCAAGGCCTGTGGCCCAATTCACCCCAAGTTCTTATTACTAGGCAGCATGAGCTCGGCCCCCCAGAAGGTGGGGCTGTGCATTTGGGTTTTTTCTTTAAACCAAACTAAATACCGCACCCCATACCACATGCACAAACACATTTTTCTTCCTTTGGGGATCATCTGTGATTATGGAGGAGCAACTTCTATTTTTAGGGGGATCCCTCCCTTGAAGAGTCCCAGGCTGTGAGAACACATCTCCATCTCCTCTGAATTTTTATTGGTTTATTTGTTTAATGCTCAATTTATTAAACTCATAAGGCTAATAAACAAAACTCGGAAAACCAATTTTTTCGGGAGCATTTGAACATGGATTACAAAGCTGATTAATTTCTCTTAAACCACTGAGAACTGCAGAGACACATGGAGCACGGCTGATTCTCTTCCCTCCAATAAAATTGGCTTCCCGATGTTCTGGGGCCACTCCAGCCTCTCCAGGCAGGTCTTCGCTGCCAGATCTTAGAGCCCGTGCAGCATGCACCGGGCTCCGCATCCTGCCTCTACCACTTTCTGGCACTGGAATCTCGCACAAGTCCTTCTCCTCTTGAATGACAGTGTCCTCATCTGTCTAATGGGGATACTGACAGGGGCTGACTTACAGTGCCATGCACGTGGGATGGGCTCAGTAAGTGGCGATCATGACCACTGTCATCTCTCCAGGACTTCTGGCACCTGTTCACCACCCTCAGAGTGGAAGATCCCCTACCTCCTCCTCACTGCCATTTCCACACCCCGCCACCGCACTTTACAGTTTATGTAGCCCTTCGCTGGTTTCTTAGAAGAGTTCCCACTCCACTCTCAGGGGGCTTCTCAAGACCTGCCCCTCAAGACCACCCCGGTCACCCTGTCCTTCACTAGCCTCCTCTACACATCTCCAGCTTCCTGACCGCTGCACCGCTTCTACCCCGTGGACATTCACCTCCATTTCGCAGAGAAAACAGAAGGTTTGGGGGGAAACACCCAAAGTTCTGACTTGCCTCCTCGTCCAGTCAAATCAGCTTACATATCCCTTTGCTTCAGAATGTCCAAGAGCACCCAACAATATCAAGATAAGCCCAAAGACCTAAAAGTGGCACCCAAGGCCCCACCTATCCCATCACACCTGGCTCTAGCAGCCAGGCTTCTTGCTGCTCCGGAACACAGCAAGCTCCTCCTTGTCTCCTTGCACTTAAAATTCCATCCGCTTCCAAGGCTTATCCTTCTCTCCCCCTTTCCTTTGCTTCTTATGGAACTCCTCTTCATCCTTCAAGACCCATTCAAACGCCACCCCCTCTGTGAAGCTTTCCCTGATGCCCACAGTCTTAGCCACTATCCAGCTACTTGTGTGTCTGCAGCCCCTACAGAACTAGAAATCAGACACCAGGTCTAATTCACCCCCAGGCTCTGGCATTGCGGAGGTGGTTAGTGAGTGTTTGTTGAATGAACAAACAACCTTGTGAGAAATGAAATGGGCAGCCAGGTAGGACAAGAAAATATTAGGTACTCTGCTTCTAGGGGTCAGGGAACACCTCTAGGTAACAAGAGAACTCGCCCTCCCCACCCCCACCCCCACCTCCTTCACAGCTATGTAACCCGGAGTCCAGTTTTCTAACTTTTATCAATGAATTTCCATGCATGCCTCCTACTTAGACCCAGGGGTGCCATGTGCATACTATTAATAAATGACTCCCCTGACCATAAGTGACTGGACCAGGCCTGGGTATCTGACTCAAGGTGGGTCAACTGGCCTCTGCCCTGTGTCCCTTCCTTCCCCTGCTCACCCAGGAGCTCTTCGTCAGCCCCCAACCTGTCTCCAGCACCAGCTACGTGGCCTTGGGTAATTCACACCCCTCTTCTTCGAGCCTCAGGTTCCTCTTCTGTAAAATGGAAGCGCTGACCTCCAATTACCGTCAGAGGGTAATTGGGAATCTGAGGAGCTTTAACCCACGTTGGAAGGCTTAGCCCAGAGCCTGGCACAGAAGGATTTCCATGGGTCTACGTCTCACCGTGGTGCCTGATGCAGGCTCTGGAACTTTCTTTTCCTCGCCTCCCATTTTAGTCTGAAGCCCCCTAATTGCATGGTCGGTGTGTGCTCTCTCCCCATCTGTCCCTTTGCAGGCATGGGCTTTTGTCAGACCCTCGCCCAGGGCCACACCAGGCAGATTCCGGGCGTGGTTTCTCCAGACCCAAGCCCCACAACCCCTGGAGCGACCACTGCTGGAAACACCCGCCTCCCTCCATGGGGACCACGGGGCTTGGACCCTGGAACAGCATCCCTTCTGCCCACACTGGCTGCACCTTCTCAAATTCACCCAGCAAACA